GATTATTTAAAAAAATTAAGGCAAATGGATTGTTGGGATAAAAACTATAATTAAAATAAATGTATTATGTAAAAACATTTTACTAAATGCTTCAAGACCACATAAAAATAACTCTCTAAATCAAAAGTCAGAAAATAATAAATGTATATATATAAATAAATTATATCTGATTACTCCCCCTAAAAAACCCAAATATTAAAACAATATTAAATAATTACGTACACAGATTAAAAATATTTTTTTAAAAAGCAATAATTAGAACAAGAATCCTGAGAAAGAAATAAAATTACAACAGCATTATGGAGTTGGAGAGGAATTAGAAATAAAAGACATAATAAATCTATGTGATATATTCTAAAATAATAAAGGTAGATAAAAAAAAATATGTTAAGATGAAATTATAATAAAAAATTTATTATAGTTATATGATTCTAATTTTAATTTAATTTAATTATAAGTTTACAAAAGGGAAATAAGGAAAAATATAACTACAGCACAAAAAGGTAAATAATAAAACGAAGAATAAAAATAAATTAATAATTAACAATGACAATAATTAAATTGTAAACTAACAAAATAATTACACTAAAACTATACATTCATATGTAAATAAAAAAATGAATATAAATAAAATGTATGATTAAAATATAAAATACCTGGGACATTTTCAATAATAAAAGATAAATAAATAAACAGTCATTACAGTAATAGCAGATCGTGTCTTTCAGTCAGATGACGTTGCTCTGAGGTCACACTCCGGGTCAACGTAAGGAGTAAACGCGCGTGCGTGGCGCTTGTTTGACGCCCGGAGAAAGGGAGAAAGAGAGAGAGAGAGAGCGAAAGAGAGTCTGTTTCGGGTGAGGAGGGGGTGAGGAGGAGGAGAAGGAGGTTTCGAGGTTTTCCTCAGTGCTCGCACGCGCTGGGCTTGCTGAAAGACGCACGAGGCTGCTACTGGAGTGGATCTAACCGGCGGGAGACGCGCGTGCCGTTACGCACCGGGCAGCTCCGGTGTGTGTCTGTGTGTGTGTGTGACAAAGAGGAGGAAGAGTAGCGGACAGAGTCACATTGAGCCCGGAAAGTTGGAGTACAGCTGCGGAGTGATCGGGGGCAGCTGATGTTCTTCACCGAAGACAGAGCTCCATCTCCGGGAGAGCCGCTTCGGAGCATGCGCTCCTGCCCGGACTCCCAGTCTTCTTCGTCTTCTTCTGCGTCCCTGCCGGGGCTGCTGTGAGCCCAGGACGGCGGGGTGGGTAGGGGGGTCCCACCGTGTCCGGGGTTCGTGCTCGCGCCACTATGTCGGTGGCAGTCCGCGCGATGTGCGGAGAGAGAGAGTGAGAGACCCCGACGCTCAGAGCGAGAGAACCATGACTTCCTGTGGGATTACAGCAGCACGCGACATGATCCTAATCGGCGTCGTCTGCCTGCTGCTCGTGCTCGGTGAGTACACCTCCGCTGCCCGCGTGCACGCGCACAGGTGAGGGCAGAGGCTCGGTTTGCGCCTCTGTCAGTCAGCTGGGTCTAAAGATGCTCTCGTGCTCTGAAACACCGAGTAACCGTCAGCAGGAGTACTCGGATACTCACAGAGATACTCCATTACAAGTGAAAATGTTGCAGTGCATGAAGTTAACTTTTAAATCTCCGCAGACAAACAGCGCGCGCCCTTACCCTCAGACCCAGTCGTGACGTGTTAGAATAGTACAGAGTACTGTGTGTGCAGAGTACTGTGTTTACAGAGTACTTGGTGTACAGAGTACTGTGTGTAATCTGCTGTACTTTCTGTTTGGATTCCTATTATGTTTCTATTCAGTGTTTATTGTTCATCAGAGCCATAAAGAGCATCTTTGTAACATTCAGTAAATGAAGTATCTTCAGGTGCAGTACTCTCTGAGGTACTACCATTTTATCCCTGACAGGGTGTAGTTATTTGTACTCCCAGGGGTTTGACTACTTCTACACCTCTGCCTTACTGTGAGCTTCTACTAAAAGATGCTGTTACTGTGCGTGATACCAGAACTGAGGACAGCAGGTCTCGGGAACCTTTGTTCTGATCCTGAATATTTTAATCTGAACTTTTTACTGCTGCACAAACATCCACGTACACCTGAAAGGTCACATCGTTACCCCGAGGTCCAGTAATTAGCTCTTTGTGTGGTCCTCACCTGTGGGAGCTGTTCCTCTGCCCCTGGTTCTGAGCGCTGGTCTGATGTGTTGCAGCTTGTTGAGGTGGAGCTGTGGGGTGGGTGACACAAGCTCGTGGTGCTGGAGCATTTCTGTCTGCAGTGGAGCAAACAGAGTGTGGAGCCGTGTTTTTTTGTCCCACCTTTTTTTTTGTGTCTCTGCAGAGTGTAAATGCACGTTTCATGAGAGCAGCACAGGATTTTGTCCCACTGTTCCAGCAGGGGGCGCCTGGTGCCCTACTGACCTAGCACTAACCACAGGAAAGTCTGGAGAGTCACCCAGGTTATTTTTTACAGATACAATGTGCAGATGTCCCCTGCAAGCATTGCGTCAGGCGCTGAAAAAGTGTCAGATGAGGGGAGCCTGCAGAGTGTCCCACAGCTTCCATCAGTTACTCATCATAGGAGACCCAGCTCAGGTCTCAGGCGTCAGTCCCGGTCCAGTCAGCTTAAAGGTGTAGCATTGTCCAGCAGCTCCAGCAGCTCCAGCAGCTCCACTAGCTCCGGTTCTGAGGTGGCTATGTTCCACAGTGCTCTCCTTAGACCAGGTGGACAGGAAGAGCCTCCTCGAGTGATTATGAGGATTAAGGAGGACTTCAGGGACCACAGCCTGTGTGGGACATCAGTATTCACTGCAGACCATAGAAAGCATATAAAGATGTGGATGAACCCACAGTAACAGCCTCGTTCATGAAGAGTTTAGGTTCATGGTTAGTTGAGAGTAACGGGTTAACGGTCCACCTGGCTGTAACAGTCAGCTCACCTGTAAGAAACAGCTGCCTCTCGAGAGGTGGGCTTAGCTTTAGTTTTTGCACTGCTCTTCACGTCATCATTGCTGATCTCACCACCTCAAACTCTGGGACGGCCGTCAGCTTTCTGAACTGTAAAGCCTTTCAGATGAGAGATCAAACATCTGCAAGGACAAAAACAATTTCAGCTCAAGCACCTGATGGTCTTCTTCAAATCCCAGAATCAGGAAGTTCTGAGACACATCTGACAGTTAGAAATGGTCCAAAGATGTTCTCCAGATGTTCTGACCGAAGGATTTTCCTGCTAGAACTTTAGACAGAAAGAAAAAACTGAACAGCAGCAATATTTGGAGGGCAGGTTGAGGTATATCAGTCGTTACCTGCAGAGCTATGGTTAGGCTCGTATGAACACAGAGAAGATGGAGGATAAGGGTGAAAATCTTCCTAAATGAAAGCTCACTTTGAGGTCCCTCAATGGGCAGAAGGCACAAAGAAGATGCCAAACGAACCAAACTTCAGCCGAGAGAATGGGTGAGATGATCTGTCCACAGCATGAGGTCAACCATTCATAGTCTGGATTACTCGCTGTGAAAGCCATGATCCCTGGCTTCTGGTCCACATGTGAGGTTTCAGGAGCCAGGGATGAGGAAAATGGAAGGAGGAGCGTGCTGCAGCGCTTTCACTTTTACTTTGAAGGAGAACTACAGCGTTTTGCACTTTTATTTTGAAGAACTGCAGCTCTTTGCACTTTTATTTTGAAGGAGAACTACAGCGCTTTACATTTTTAATTTCGAAGAAGGACTATGGTGCTTTGCGCACTGAAGGACAAAGATCTGAATGTGTGTTTGTTCCACATCGTGTTTCCTCTCTATAACACAGCCTTTATATTCATTCACAGAGTTATTATATGATAATGCTTCTGGTCATAGGTAATTTTTGGGACTGTGAAATGTCAGTGGCATGTAATGTAATAGTTTACTTTTACCCTCTTGCCTGGTTTTGTGCCGGTTAACCGTCAGATCGTGTTGTTTGTTGGCATTCAGCATGTTATGTCTCTAAAATAATGACTCCAGCAGCTCACACACACTTCCTGTTTCTGAAAACCCTCAAAATCCCACGAAATGCACACGCCTGCTATCTGCGGCTGCCGACAGGTAAACATTCATTTATCTGGTCCCTGTGATGCTCGCTTAATTGGATTCATCCGCATGTTATTGTCTCTGCTGGATGGAAGCTGTTGAACTGCCTGACAAAGGCCACGCTCGGCACAGATGGAGCTGAGTCTGTGCGCCCTGGAGGAGATGTGGAGCTGGATTAGTGTGGGATATTTTCTTGAGGACAACCGCGCAATGCCTTCTAATGTTTCCTATTTCAGTTTCATATGTTTCTGTCACAGCTAACGGCCGCTGGAACAACAATAACCTACAACAGGAAGACATATATGATATGATGCTCTATGAACACGTGCTGGCTTTATCCTCAGCTTCTTATCAGGAGATCACCTCATCTCGATCCGAGATCCATCACTGAGCCTTCAATCTGCAATCCTGAGTCACAGCTGAGAAACTGAGGCAAAGCATACAGACACACCTCCACCTGCACCAGAGGAAAAGCCTGCCTGAGTCTGCAGAGACGCACATTTATCTGACCAACAGTCCCATTAATATTTTGACATTTAGTTTTAAACGAGCTCTGTTTGAACTGATTAGTTTGCTATGTTAAAGAGATGGAAAAAGATCACAAAGAAGCAATAAGTGACAGTAAACAGGCGCCAAAAACTACAAAGAGACAAAAATATTGGAAAAATATTTAAAAAGACCATAAGCACACACAAAAATTTAACAAAAAGCAAAGCAGAGACACATGGTGACTCTAATAAGACACAAAATGACTGCAAATAGATAAAATGATCACAAAAGTAAACAGGAAGTGAGTGAAGCTAACACCTCTGTGTCTAACTCCCGCCTTCTCCCTGTTTTCCTGCAGATGTGTGCGTTTGTGACTTGGAGCCTGGCACCCCCGGCTGGAGGGAACCTCTAGACTGTGTCCGAGCCTCCGAGCTGTGCAACCAGAACAGCCAGTGCAGCTCGCGTTACCGGATCATGCGCCAGTGCCTGTCGGGCGGGGACAAGGAGCGCAGCGCCATGCTGGCCTCCAAGGAGTGCCAGGGGGCGCTGGAGGTGCTGCAGGACTCGCCGCTCTACGACTGCCGCTGCAAGAGAGGCATGAAGAAGGAGCTGCAGTGCCTGCAGAACTACTGGAGCATCCACATGGGCCTGACTGAGGGTAAGCCTCCTATGCTGGGCCCTGTCCAGAGCTAATAAAGCCTCCTGCTGCCGCTGATGGAGCACAGCAGCTTGCTGGTGTTTTTATGTCAGTTCTTCTCTTCACACGCTTAGGTCGTCTGTTGGCCTGGAGGGCAGACAGAAAGTAGAGAAAGTTTTACTCAGTGAGCACTTGCAAACAGCAGGTAAAGACGTGAGAGAGTGCAGGGGAGCAGCCTGAAGTCTGATGTGACAGGAAGTGTGTTTATTCAGGAGAAGCTCAGACATCATCACCAGAGTATGAAGAGATTTGACAGGAATGGGGAATGGATGAGTTACACTGTGTCTGCAGTACAAGCCCTGCTGTTTTTCATCAGTATAATTTAAATTGGCTAGATTCTTCATGCTCCTCTGGATTGTCAGGGAAGCATCACTGATCCTTCAATCTCTGCAGGTTCTGCGTCCTGGGCAGAGTTGTTTTTCTGGCTATTTATGTGTGATGGACAGTAGATTTAGTGAAATTCTCAGCAGCACGAGCCACCCTGAATCTAATGACAATGGGATCGTGTCTGTGCAGTCAGGTTTGAGGGAGTTATTACTGATTGTTTGACAAAATTGCTGCAATCATGTTGATTAGTGGGTGACCTTTAACCTGGGCCAGCTGCTGGTTCAGATTGACTCATGTTTGTGCTATTTTTTTAAGATTACTCTTATTTCACCAAACTATTATTTCATTATTGATGCTGGAGTTTTAGGGCCGATATTGATAACCATCCCACCATCTATCTGTCCGTCCATCCAACCATGTGTTCATCAATCTTTGAAGGTGAGCGCCTGGTTTTGGGTCCATGAGGCTTGGTTGGACACCTCCTGAATAACATGGATCTGCTGCTCAGTGAGCCCACCGCCCCAGAGGGCCTGGGGTTGGGTGGAGTGTGAGCTGGGCTGTTGACAAAAGTCCAGTATGGACCCCCAGACTGGACTCAGTTAATGATTTTTAAAATCCAGATGGTAGTTAGCTGTAAATACATGAAGTCAAAGAGTGTTGATTTTATCTATCATAGATGCTGATAGATGCTTTACTACCATTTAGTTTCTATAATAACAGACAGCTAGCTGTAGCATAGCTTCACAGCATGTATTCGACATGTGACTTCATCACATCCAGGTCAGGTGTATATGAAACACAGTTCATACAGCAGAGCACTGTACCCCAGGCTGCCTGCAGACCCCCACAGCCATCACACTGATGGCTGTGGGGGTCAGGCGTCCCTTCCTCTGCCATGTTTCACTGAAATCTGCAAAACCCAAAAACTCTCAGTCCAAATAAACCTGCAGCCACGCTGAGGTTCACCCGGGGCTGTGTTCCAAACTTTGTCAGCTCTGACTTTGTGATTTTGCAAAGGGAGGGTGGCGTGTTTGTTTAGCTGTTTGGTTTTCTGCAGAGGAACCTAAAAATGATTTTGATCCTTTTAAAGTGTCCATCGCGAGCGCTCCAGCGGTGCGCCGACAGACGAGCCTCTGACGGCTTTCCGAGATGCTTCTTTGGGAATTTTAGCACAACAAACGAGCCGCTCACATGAAACGCTCGCTTGCTGCAGAGCTGCTGTGTTCTCAGTCACCTGGATAACGTCCGTGGCTCGTTCACATCTCACTGCCACACACACACACACACGTGCACACAGCCCGTTGGCTGGCCTAGTTTAGGTCTCGGCAGTGGCAGAGCTCATTAAGAGCCTTTGTCTTTGTTCTCCTTTCCATTGAGGATGTCTCTGTAGTGCCAGCAAAGCTAGCAAAGCCTCCACATCACACACACACAGACGCTCACACACACACTCAATGCTGTGCGGCCACACACAGGCCGTGTGTTTAAGCCTGACAAAGTTGTAATGTACAGAAACACAAACATGCTGTCTGACATGCAGCAGAACAAATATCTATACCCACTAACACTGCACGTGCTCACACGGCTTTCCTTCGTGCTGTGTTCGTGCGTCTGAGCTCTGCAGTGTGTTTCAGAGTCTTTTTGCATTAAAGCGTCACATCTTAACCTGGCGATCAAACATCTCGGTCGCACACAGCTGAAGGTGGACCAGTGAGAAACGCTTTGACATCCAGAGACAGAGTCATGTGCAGTTCTTAATGATCTTCCAAACCTTTATTATTTCCTCTGCACTGATCTTGTTCACTAAAATCTCTCTTTTAGTGACTTTTAGCTCAAGCTAAACCAACAGTGAATGACTTTTAGGGAGGGGCAACGGGAGCGTTTCGTTTATTAGACAAAATCAAATGAGCTTGCCTTGTTTCCATCGTCTCTAAAAGCCAAATTATAATCTGATCAATCCTCCAGCCCTGCTAGAGGCTGATGACCAGAAACACTGAGTTTATTCAAAGGCAGGACCTGAGCGTGAAAATTACGATGCTAGCTGTCACAGAATATGTCCAGTTTTGACCCTGAGAGGAGGTGGAACTGAAAGTCAGTCCTCAACTGGGCCCAACTTGCACAAAAGCAGAGGAAAAGGAAACAGGAGCCATGACTTCACACTTAAAGGTAAAGCTTGCAGAGTTCAGAAACCATCAAGCTCCCAACACGGAGCCTCAGTAGAGGCGACTGTGCATCTGAATGACTTGAAAGTATTTGGCAGAAGTTGCTGTCCTCTTTCAGAAGAGCTGGAAGCCTCTTGGGGAGGTACTGAAGATGGGTGTCCAGGTTTGGTGAGATGTTTGAGGATTACCTGGTTACTTAGCCTGATGATGGACACCTGCATGAATTAGGGTTGGGCGATTGGACGAATATATTGACTATCGTTTTTACAGGGGAGATTTATTTGCCCATCAGTAAGTTTTCTAATAATGATGGAGCTAATAGAAGCAGTCAACAGAAAAAAATAATAATAGCGCTGTTTTAACAGCACCCTCTTTCATCTGTGAGCAAATGCACCCTCCTCAGACTGCGCCCAAATGCTTGTTGATGGAACTGCAGAAGCTAGTGATCGCCGCATACTCAGCCGGATGGTGGACACGTAAATGCTCATGCAAATTAGTCGCGTTTGAGTACTTTGCTTGCACTATACGTCTGCACAAGCGGCACACCACTTTGGTTACATCCTTAGGTTTACCTCTTTCATCTGGTTTAAAGCCAAAGAAATCCCAAATTGGCAACTTTATATTTTTTTAGTGCTGTCAGCGCTAACTAACGCAATTAACAATTAACCCATCTGGAGGGTTAATTGTTAATTCGACGCTACTGAGTCAAAATCCCTGAAATGTCTCTGTCAATGCATTTCGGGCAGTTTGTCCAAAGTTTGTTCATTCTGCGCTCCAGAGGGGTTGAGAGTGTTAAAAATTTTAATCGTGATGACCACGTTAACGCCGCATTAACGCGTTTCTTCCTGTCAAAAGGGAGTTTTTCCTTCATGTTGTTGCCAAAGTACTTCCTCACATGGGGTTATGTGATTGTTGGGATTTTTCTGTAATCCTGTAGGGTCTTTACCTTACAGTATTAAAACACCTTGAGGTGACTGTTTTTATTGGTGCTATATATAAAATTGAAAATAAAATTGAATTGAATCAATATGTTTTTTTAATGGCTATGAGGGATGATGATCAGTGCTACAAAGCTGTCGCATCAGAGACTACAGTCCTCTCCAAACCTTGAACAAGGTGACAACTCAAAGTTAAAAACTCAAACAGTGTTTGTGCACTTTCAGCTAATGAGCAGGATTTCAAGGGTGCAGGTAAATGGCTTGATGTGGCGCGCAGCCTTGAGTCATGAATCTTAAAAATGATTTGAACATGGCAGCAGTCTGTGCAGATTGCTACGAACGTCAGCGTGACTACAAAGAAGCTTTAAAAGGTTTCTCACAGGAAAGTTCATCTGCTGCTCGCTTAATTACATCCTGCTTCTGATGGGTTTATAGAAATTGTGCTCCTGTAGTTTTGGCTTCCAGCTATATTTTTCTTTCATGTGACACTGAACAAAAGATTTTCTCTTGCACTGTTTGTCTCGTTCATGCATGACGGGCAGGAGGGGATGTGTTGGCTTTTCAGCTTAAAACTTATAATAGAAGTCAGGAGGAAGAACAGGTGAGACTGAAAAGACTCCGAAGTTTCTCCCAGTATGAGGTTCAGCTTGTGTTTATGTGCCTGGAGAGCCTGGATTTAGGAGACAGGTTCAAAACTCAGAGCTGTGGTCATCAGAGGAGCCAGTCTTTAACTACATAATGATAATAAGAAGAAGAACAACAACAACAAAAATGTCACTAAGAAATAATGATAATAATGATAGTAATAATAATAATACAAATTTTCCAATGACTGTTACATCACACACACAGAAAATCTACAAACACAGGAGTGAAACTAAAGTGTGCAGCAGACATCCAGTTTGAGATCTTTAATCTACTCTTAGGTTTTTAATCTGATTCATGTTAAAATTAGTTCTCGGTCTCAAACTTGGTCTTTAGTCTGATTTTCATTCTTACATGTTTAATCCAGTCTAAAGTTTAGACTGGATTTAGTTATTCTGGCCTAAATCATCATCAGTAAATTCCAACCTAATCAGGATTAGTGATTAGGATTTTTGGCTGCTAATAAAAAATAAACCTTGAAACTAACACACAACAAAATGTCTTTTGTTTTGGAAATGAGCGGTTGGGGTCGCTGAGGGCCTCACATAGATCATCTAGTCCTTAGTGTTACATTTAGACCTGAGTCTTGTCTTTAGGCCTAATTCTGTAAACTTCAGTCTAACCTCTGCTCACTGCTGGGCTCATCGCTGTGTTCAGGAGGCCGTCCAGACATTTCTACATATTTCCGTGAAGAGTTTTCCTCTCGAGACTGCAATGCTTCCACCACGGAGGTTATTTGTGTTTTTAGTCAAAGATTTACTTTAATTGTTATTAAATTTTATTTGTTGCCTCACTGTGGTTTTGGTTTCTGTAACGTGCCCACCTGCATTCCAGCAACAGCCAGTAATCGTTTCTTTTCTTGCAAATATTTTGTCGATCCTTTTGTTCAGAGTCACAAGTGAAATGGTCTCTGAAATACCAGCATGC